TGTATTGGTGACTTGGAAATAAAATACTACGAACCAGTCAGTTTGGGCGTGCATGCAATATTTCCAACGTATCTGAGGCGATATAAACGCTGATGCAGAGAGCGTTTCTCTGACTGACTGTAGCCTCTGTCATCTACATACACCCATGTGCAGACATCACATGCAATAAATCAGATCATCTTACTCCCCACCAGCAGCTAGCTCACCTTTTTTTTTTAAATCCAGAGGGGGAACATGAAGAATCTATGATTTGTATTCATCACAACCCAGCTCTGAGAACACACTGTCTGTCCCCGCTTCTCTTTCTCTTCCTTTCCCCCCCCACTCCCCTGTCAGCTCATTAGCCGTCCATCCTCAATTCCGCTATAAGGTATAGATTCAAACTCTCATCCAATTAGAACTGCTGACACACATAATACGGAAAATTTGATGAGGGAAAACTTTCTCATAATTGGTCACAAATTATCTCTCTGTGTGCGGGAACGCAGCGATCCTTTTGGAATGCAACACACACACACACACTCACACTGACAGGGAATCTGAGCCACACCCTGGCAATGACATCCAGAAGTCACACCCTTTAGTCATCATCGATGATGGTGGAAACTGTAAATCTTTAATCAGTTTGGCAGGAGACCAACATCAATTTAAGAGATTTCTTTTCTTTTCTTTTTCTGTTAATGAAAACCCCGCCCCTCCGAGGAGACGCCGCCACACTCTGAATATGGAATGTGAAATGTATTTCCGTGGAGCTAAATCTCCTGATAGATGATCTGTAAGGACAAATTTCCTCGCACGAAATATGGGGGGGGGGGGGGGGTAATCATGGAATGAATGAAGTTGGCCTGGTTTTACCCTGCTCTTGCTCATAACTCTAACTCACAATCTATGAGCCATTATGAACCAATCTCAGCTCAGTCCGACCAATGTTATGATGGAGGAGAGCGCCTCACTGTGACCCACTGACGCCACTGAACGTGCAACAGTTACCAAACTTACTCTTTGGAATAAAGAAACTGGTACTGGGGCGCAGTGAAAAAATACTCTTTTCATTCAAAGATAATCCGTCAATGTTTCAAAACAACAGTTGATTCCGACTCTGATACTGACAGAATAAAGTCTAAAAGATGTTTTATTTTGAAAATTGAACGATCCTTCAACATCGGTTCAACATCACTGTTCCGCTTAACGTCTAATACCGTCCGACCGGTCCTTGGTACAAAAAAGGTTGGGGTCCGCTGACGTAACACACAGCATGTTATTACTGTGTATAACTGCAGGATTTAAAGCCCTATCATGAAGCTTTAGGTAAAACTCCACATCACCAAACTTTTCTAAAATGTGGATTTTTTTTTTTATAGTAATCACTGTTATTTTCTCCAACTCTAGAGTCATGAGAAACACCGAAGCTGTGAAACCAACGTGAGGGCGACACTTTCTACACTCTGTTATCACAGTCAAGTAACAGTCCGTGTGACTATTTGTCATTTTCTCCTGGCCGTAGCATGTTAAAAAACTCCCCGGGCCACGCTAATAACAACAAACACTTTAGAAAAGCAAGAGCTCGGTGTGAACGTAGTCTCAAAACTAAGCAGAAAGTTCAGGATAACGTAAAGGAATAAAGCATATGCTTTTCAAGCTGGAAAATGAGTATAAAAAATGAGCATAAAAAAAAGAGTGGAGGGTGTTAAGAACATAATTCAGCTGGAAAAGTGTAGCTTCAAAAGGCATTTAACGAGTAAAGACTAAAGCAGAGAGCTAGGCTAATTTCAGCCAAAGCGACACCAAAATTGTTTAGCTAGCCAAGCAGACACAAGGAAAAAATTAAATAAATACGGCAAGTGGTAGGTAAGTAAGTAAGAAGGAGAAAAAAAATGAAAGTCATATTAGCGATTAGCAGCTACCTGACCGTAAATCCAAGAGGTAGCTATAACCCAGTCAAAATTGCAGTTGCAGGGCTATAACCCAGTCAAAATTGCAGTTGCCTGTTAATAGCTTAACAGAGATATTGAAAAACTACAGAATACCACAAAATATATCACCAGGGAACAAAACACAGATGTCAACAAAAAATGTTCACTGTAAAAAAACTCAGTAACTCCCCCTGGTTGTGGCGTGCAAACAGTTCGTACAGCAGGGAGCAGATGCGGCCATTTACGGCCGTGTAGTAATACGGCGAGGAGATACTGCGTTCGCTCCAAAAAAACCAACTCGGCTACAGCAAACACGCCACCGACGATTACATAACGTTAGTTCATCCTCAGCGTTTCCCACCATCCTCCTCGACAAAGCTGCATCTCCATAGAAACTAATTCCCATCATTCACAGAGATAATTGTGGGCTCCGGCATCAAATGGTTGTTCCGTGTTTCTTTAATATTTGATAACACGCACATCAGTGCCTACTTCTGGTATATTTTCAAACGCTCTGGGCCTCTCCGTGAGTCTAATCTATTCATGCCTTTGGAGAGTTGTTGTGAGTGTGAGTGTGTGTGTGTGTGTGTGTGTGTGACTGCCGGCTGTTCGGAGTTGCAGGATACTGTCGTTCACGGCACTGATCCAGACGAACAAACTGTCCGAGAGCAGCAGCGGCACAATACAGCAGACATGCTCTGTCTCGTACTCAAGGGCCGACGGAGGACATTTCATTGTTGCCTAATACCTCCGAGTTATTGCCCTCTTACTCTTTAGAACCTCGGGAACATTTTTTTGAAAAACAAGCCTTTTTTTAATTAAAACTAATTTTAATTAAAATTACTCTCCCCAGTTCTTACTCTTTAGAACCTCGGGAACATTTCTTTTTGAAAAACAAGCCTTTTTTTTTAATTAAAACTCTCCCCAGTCTTCCTACTTTAAAGACTGCGTATCAGAAGGTGGAGCGGGTCGTTTTCTCAACAAATACTGCAAAAAAAATGGCCCCCGGCATTAATATGCATTTCATATTTTTTTTCTTAACTTCTACCGTAAATTCAAATTTGGAATAAATGAGCAGGAAAGCATGTAAAACTGTGTCCAGAAATCAGAAATAGAAAAATATTCTGTTTGCTCAGGCAATTCGAAAAATCGATTGGCAGCAACTAAAAAAACAAACAAACATTTGTTTCGGACTAGCACAGGCGCAACACCAACGTTTGGTGGTGGTTTGTATCTGATCATATTCTGGAATATTCTGAAGACATTAGCAACCAGGGGTAAAAGCAAACACCTAATAAAGTATGCAACAGCACTGCAGCAGAGGTTTGGAATTTTTTTTTTTTTTTTTAGATACCATTTTAGAATTTTGGATGTTTTGTTCAGGTTCAAGAGTTACTTATTATTTTTATCAAATTTATTTTAATATATTTAAATAAATATCCAGCAAAAGATGACGACCAACACACGCACAGTAAAATATTTAAAATTCCCTTTGTGGTAAATGTGGGAGTCTTGAATTTGACTCAAAAAGTGGCCAAACGTGGAGGAGGTCTTCTGATGTTCGGTGTTGTGATGAGATCGGATGGAACGATTTTGTACTGACAATATAAGGATTTAAAAGTTGGTCCCATCTGATTATCCGTTTTTCATACGACGGCTTTTTGAACAACAAGGTTCTGATCCAGCCGTCTGGTCCGCTGCCTCAGTGCTGCCTGTGATATTACTGATGTTGTGTTTGTTCAAAAATGCATTTCTTTTTTCTTTAATTCTATCTGATATCGCGTCTGTTTGATGTGCTGCTGCCTGAGCTTCTTTCCAAAGAGATGTTTTTTAAAGTTCCTGGTGTGGTCTCTGAGGTTACGTGGGGCCGAGGTTAAATAACAATTTAAGATGTTTCACCGTTCCACCGGTAAACTTTGGATTTGTCACCCAACGTTCAAAGCGCGGCGCAATCTTCCAGTTCAAAGACAGTCCATTCGGGCTCCACCTAATTCAACGCACCGTTATCTCTTTTAAAAAATGTCAAGTAGCTACCGGAATACGCTGATCAGTGCCATGAAAGCACTTATATGTGTTTGTCCTTGAATGAGTGAGATTAGAATTTTCATTTCAGAAAGTAAAAAAGCCGCCGGAAAAGCCAAATATCACATGCTGAGCGCAGAAAACGAGAAAGGTCGCCGGGGGCCCTTATCTGCAATTATCCAGAGACAAAGATTGGCCGAAGCCCCCGTGCGCTGCTACAAAGGGGGAATCCTCTGTGTTCGGATACGGCGTTTACTGATGCAGCTGCGCAGCACGCAGCGCATCCTAGAGGAGGGCGCGTGCAGGAACACTTGACTGTACGCTGCTCAACACCAGGTGGTGTTTTGAATTATGAACACGGGCAATTAAAAATGAACACTCCTCCCCCGTATAGTCGGAGCTAAAGAATGCTCATTAACATTTGTCTTTGTATTTATTTTTAATTCAACAGCTTCTCATTTGCACATAAAATGGAGAGGATCAGATGCGAACGACATCAAACCGATTCTGATTTATTTCTCTTTTTTTTTATTTATTTAAACACGCGCAACCCTCCCCACCCCTGACAAATCAAATAAAAAAAATCACTCGCATCACTCCCACCGACATGAAGTCGTTCAGATGATGACAAGGTCTGTGAAGTTTAAAAAACGTGTCACTTTTGTTTTTCATTTTCGGGCAATTGATTTCTAAAACAAATGAAAAAAATGACTCAGAACCAGAAGGCAACATTTGGGGGGGACGGGGGGAGTGGGGTACACGGGTCACATGACGAAAACGTTATCTTTTTATCAACACTGGGGCCGAGGAGGTGGGCAGTACTAATAATAGTTCAGTTTAAAAATAATGGTTCTCATCTTCAAATGCAAATCTGAATTATTTAATGTGAGAGCAATGGTGCCCCCTTGTGTATAAAAAAAACATCAATATTCTGACAGTGATGCATATGCAGGGGCGGATTTACGGATCAAAGCTACTGATGAAAGAGATGGTGAATTGTGTGATTACAGTCACACTGTGTGTGGGTGTGGGTGTGTGTGTGTGGGTGTGTGTGTGAGACATCACCTGCAAGACAGGCCTGTAAGGAGAACTTCTTGTTCCACATCTCTGCAGTAAATGACTGCAGACTCTGAGGAGCGAAGAAGATTGTCTCCTGTCCATCTGTCCATCTGTCCATCTGTCCGTGCTGCTCCTCACACTGCCTGCGTCGTTAGCCTCCGCTGTCTGAGCTCTGGGCGCTCTGCACTGTCCGCGGCTCAGCCAGATGCTCGTAAGACAACACTGCCATAACCTTCTG